CCCCCAACTGGGCTGTGCCATCATGTTTGAGTCCAAACCCCTCAATATGCTTCGGAACTGGTCCCGCCACCGCGCCTCTTTTGACAGCCACCCTGCGCGGTCAATTACCCCGTCATCATGGCGACAGAGTGACGCACCGAACCTTGCTGGCTTCAGTTCCACTCACCTCAGTCATGTGACATATGCAGCTCTCCAGCTGTCCGGATGGTTTTCTCCGATTCCGTGCGGAATCCAGACGCGGCGTTTTATACTGGGAGAAAAGCCATGTACGGTCTCTCGCTGTCCCGTTCGCGCCTCCAGTTGAGGTAGAGCTGCGGCCCCACAGCTTGAAACGCTCTCATACGGAGAAAGTTTCTGTGTCAGGAAGCGCGTTCTGCCTTGCCGGTAACTGAGCCATGTCAGCTATAACACGTTTGGTGTTGCTGTATGTTGTTCAAAGCCCTTCTGAAGATGTGCATGGGCTCTTTGCCCCTCATACTGGACAGGTCAATGCGGGGCCAGCACGCAGTCTCTTATTGGCCACCGATGGGATAAGAGCAGCGAGCCTGAGAAACAGCTTTGGACCACCCGTCACCGCGCCCAAACCCACGTCTCATACCGGGCCAGTCGCTTCAACGAGGTCTGACTGTAACGGAAAACACCGACGAAATTCCCCGCAAGCGACCATGAAGCCCTACCGCGAGCTTCTGCCTGCTAACGCGAGCGTTGCGGACGATGCCGACCCAGCAGAGGCGTCATCTACTTCCTCCATCTCGAGTAGCAAGAAGCGTGCTCCGCAGACCAAGGTGGCATGTTCTGCCTGCCGCCGCAAGCGAACAAAGTGCGATGGCCGTCGACCTGTATGCTCGACCTGCGCCGCCACGACTCGCCGGTCGGCTGAGGAATGTGAGTATGATGTCGACCCTGACCTCACTCGAACGGCTGCTCTCAAGAAGAAGAATAGCGACCTACTTCGCCGTAGCCGTCTCTTGGAACAGCTCTTCCATCTACTGACTCTACGCACCGAAGATGAGTCAATCGCAATCATTCGCCGAATGCGTACGACCAATCTGGACGAGGATATTGAAAACCTGATCAGCTTCATCAAGAGCGGTGATTTGCTCATCATGTTTCACTCTGCAGAGTCCGGTTCCAAAGACGTCGAAGCCGCCAACCCTGCCGCTGCTGGAGACGTGGACCCCGGTGCAGCACGAACCTCGTCCGACGAAGCTACTGCCTTACTTGAGACTTTGTGAGCAGCTTTCCCCGGCGCATGCGGCTCTCACGCTTCTATTTACTGACCAGGGCACCCCAGATTTACCTCTATAGCAAAACTTGATCAGCACTCGCGAGCGTCTGTCCTCTCGAAGCTCAGATCACGCATCAATGAGCTCGACGCCGAGACTGGGCTAGACCAGTCAGCAACGAACGTACTGAAATCACCATCTATAGACACCACGCAGTCTTTGGTATCAGAAATTGGAACTGCAGTGCAACACACAGAAACAACTCCAGCGGCACCACGAAGGTGAAGGGCACCAAACATATCCGTTAAAACCGACAGTCCCGTGCCGGTCCGCTGGGGCAACCCGGTGTCTCCCCCCTTTCGGAGGCATAGATATGCGCGCAAGACTAAATCCATGACGGTTGAAGACAATGTCGACTGGCCAATCATCATTCTTTGGCAACGTCCAACCATGAGTAACTCGGCACCGACAAAGTGAGAGGAGGAGCAAGCGGCACTACACTGGAATGGCATTGCAAGGTGCTATGTGGGGTTGCCGCAGGCATGGTTCGCTGGGTTGGCCCCACGAGACAACGACTGAGAATGTCCGCCGAGGTCTCGAGTATCACGTCAGCCAGCTTCTCGGTCCATTGAGCGTGTAGCATCAAGTATAACACTGCGGCTGGATCAGTTCTTTCTCGTGTGAGGGCAGGATTCAAGCCATCCAGATGCGAATACGTAGGAAACCATCTGGGCATAATTAAGGATATTTCAACGGGCTAGTAGCGCAGGGCATCTGCGCAGCTGGTCGACAATCACCACGCGGGGTGTCAACAAGGATGGTTCTTTCAGTCAACGCATATTACACACAACAACAAGCACCCATGTGAGGCGAACGTAGTGTTGTCACCTGGCAGAACATCATGAATGGTAAACTGAGCGAGCAATCAACTAGCCGGAAGGTGAAAAATTCCGAACAAGGGCCTGGGGTTCAAGTAGCGTCATCAATAGCCCACGTTTGGATGGTTGGCGGAACAGCCCGATTGGACACGGCACGGCGTGATCGAAATTCCGCAGGAGGAACTCTGAAGAGGGGAAACACCATCATTACCCTGGTGATCCAGGCCATGCCGTCCGATAGCTTTCTAGTCAAATGCACCCCGGCCGGGGCGGATCGTTCTCCCCAGGCCTGGCTCAAGAGCATCGGATTTAGTGCAGATGCCGGGTGAATTTGGAGAAGGAGGAGGTGAGGGGGGAAGAGGTAGTAGGGGGTGGGAAAGCCGCTTAGCCATAGCGTTTGCCTGCCGGTAGACCCCCTTACCCATGTCGGCCTGAACCGTCCGCACCGCCGGTAGGTTCATCTATATATATACCCATCGGTCGAAACATGTGGTGCAACATTGGACCAGTCTGGTTGTCTGTCTGCTGCTGCTCGGTGATATCTGAGGGCTTTTTGAGCGTCCAGATCAACAAATAAGCTTTGATTCACGGAGCAGAAAATCTGCCCCTTGGGCCATACAACCCCCTGGAATCGTCAAGAGGCGGAATGCGTATTCGGCTGGAGGTCGCTGGCGATGGCATCTCGGAGAACACGCCGACGCAAACAACGGCGTATGGCAACATGACTGCTGTCCCTACGATAAGAGAAGAAGTGAGTAAAGAGATACCGTCATTGCCAAGCCGGGGACGTGCGGACTTGACGTCAGACCACTCTGTCACCGCCGACGAAGAAAGAGACATCATCAGGGACCCCGAGGGGCCAGACGAAGAGGTGTTCCCCGAGGGCGGTTTACGGGCATGGCTTGTTGTACTGGGCTCTTGGTTGGCTCTTTTTTCGAGTCTCGGGCTGATGAACAGTCTCGCCGTGTTCCACAATTACATCGGCACCCATCAGCTGGCGAGCTACTCGCACGGCACCGTCGGCTGGATCTTTTCCGTATACACCTGGCTCTGTTTCGGTGGCGGTCTCTTCGTCGGACCACTCTTCGACAAATATGGCCCTCGCTGGTTGATCTTGTCTGGGACGGTATGTCTGGTGGTGGCCGTCATGCTGCTCAGCATTTGTACTGGTTGGTCTTTCTGGTCGTGTCATGACACCCGCCCCTCCTCCCCCCCATCTCTCGCGTGCCCCTGTCGGCTTGGCATCGAGCCACTTTGGCTGCTGACTTACTTACTCGCGTAGACTACTGGCATTTCATGCTTGCCTTTGGCGTCCTGAACGGGCTTGGGGCGTCGCTCCTCTTTACACCTTCGATCGCGGCAGTTGGCCATTGGTTCAAGGAGCGGCGTGGGCTGGCGACGGGCGTGGCGTCGTCCGGGGGGTCAATCGGTGGGATCGTATTCCCGCTGGCGCTCAATGGGCTCCTGGGCAGGCTGGGGTGGGCGTGGACGATCCGCATCATCGGCTTTATCTGCCTGGCGTTCTGCGGCACGGCGAACCTGCTGATCCGGTCAAGGTTGCGGCCGGCGCTCAACGCGACTGCGCGCCCCGACTTCCGCATACTGCGAGACACGGCGTTCGCGCTGACGACGGCGGGAATTTTCCTGCTGGAACTCGCGCTCTTCATTCCCATCACGTACATCTCCAGTTACATGGTGCACGAGGGTTTCAGTACAGACCAGGCGTACCAGATCCTGGCCATCCTCAACGCGGCAAGCGTTTTCGGTCGAGTGCTGGCGGGATGGTGGGGAGACGCGTTCGGGCCGTTCAACTCGAATATGCTCGCCGTCGTGCTCAGTCTGGTCGCGTGCCTGGGGGTCTGGCTGCCGGCGGGCTCGACGCTCGGCGGCATCGTGGTGTTTGCGGTGCTCTTCGGCTTCGCCAGCGGCAACAACATCAGCATTAGCCCTGTATGCATCGGGCGGCTGTGCAGGACGCAGAACTACGGACGCTACTATGCGACGACGTATACGCTGGTGGCATTTGCGTGTCTCATTGGCATTCCCATTGGCGGGGAGATCATCACGGCGACGGACGAGGAGTACTGGGGGTTGAAAATCTTCACGGGGGCCATGTACTGCACGTCTCTGCTGGCGCTCTGGGCGGCCAAGGTGGTGTGCGTCGGAAGGCGGGTGCTGGCGGTCTTCTGAGTCGGGCGGTACTACGTACGCTGTCAGGTACCAGGATGGAGCATGATCTGACAATTGTACTTTGTTGCTGGGCTGCTTGGCTCGTCTGTCCTACGTGTTGAGCGAGCCCTCTCGGACGTGCCCAAATGTCCGGCGCAGAATCTGTCCCGGGAAAGTGGGCCCCGGTGGAGCTGACGAACGGGGTCGAGCACGGTCCACGTCGGCCCGGGCTTTAAGGGAAAGAGCTCCCGTCCTCCGAGCCTGCCTCACTCAATCTCACCTCCCCTGCACCTGCCTGCGCCAGCATCTCAACCTCGACTGGCGCCTGACGCCGCTGCTGCCCTGAACGCACGCTCTTATTGATCACGTGAGTTGACAGCCCTGCTTCGTCTGGTATTGTCTTGTCCTTGCATCTCGGTTGTTCTGCTTCGGCCTCTCCTCCACACATGCCGGCGGGGCCGAGGTCTAAAAGCAGTCTTATGGCATTATTCCCGCACGCACACGACTTGCCATGCCTGCACAATGACATCTTGCATGATAGGAGGAGTCCGAGGAATGCCTTCAACGACATGGCACTCATTACAGCCTTGTGCTTCAAGCCATCTCTTCGTCTGTTTCGTGTCTACCTACATGCGCCCTTGCTAATGACAGCCTCAGACAAGACATACGATATACGGTCCAACAGCACTCCCGCCACTGTCCCCGGGTCTCAAGCAGAGCCTCCACCATGTCAAACGACGCGCAAGTAGAGGATCACTACTTCTCTGCCAACCCGCCACCAAAAGCCCTTGCTAGACATGTGGCCCAGGCGAGCGCCTTTCTTGACCATCAAGTCGTCTCAAACCGCCCTGTTGTCCTCATCACCTCGGGCGGCACGACCGTGCCCCTAGAGCGCAACACGGTCCGCTTCATCGACAACTTCAGTGCCGGCACTCGCGGCGCCACCTCAGCCGAGTACTTCCTCGAGGCCGGGTACGGCGTCATTTCCTGCATCGCGAATTCAGCCTCCAACCCTACACCCGTCACTAATCACACGCCATGGACTGCTTCCTCGACTTCCCTCCAGGAGAGCCCCGACGGAAGCGTTGTCGCCAACAGCGCCCACCAAGAGAAGATGCTCGCCGTCCTCCGCAAGTACAACACTGCGCGCGCCACCAACGCGTTGCTCGTCATCCCCTTTGTCACCATTACCGACTACCTCCACGAGCTGCGCGCCATCTCCAGGCTCATGCGCCCTCTGGGCCCCCGTGGCCTGCTCTACCTCGCCGCCGCCGCCTCTGACTTTTTCGTGCCGCCCGAGCGCATGGCCGAGCACAAGATTCAGTCCACGACGGCCACCGACAGCCTCCAGCCCGCAGCCACCAGGCAATGAGCAACAAAAAGCACAGCCGCAGCCG